TAATGACCCTTTCCCTTTACATGTAAATCCCCCTTGCCCTGAACTGGGAAACCCTAAACCCCTAAACCCTAAACCCCTAAAGCCTAAACTGTCCTGTCTAGGTCTGATCCCGACTTCACCGATCTCAAGGCCTGGCCTCCTTCAAGAGGGGCCCTAGAAGGGTTCACTATAAGGGTAGTTTTCAAAATTAGGGTCCCCTTTAGGGCCCTTTTTATAAGGGTGCCGTACTATATTGGGGACCTAAAAAGGGACCCTAATTTGGAGAGTGGCCCATAAGGCTTCCGGTAAAGGTGGCCATAAGGGCTCTATAGGTTGAGGGGCGTCGAGTTCTCACGGGTTTTTGTGGAGTTTCGTGGTATCGGGGTTCTGGGGTTTCAAGTTTGTACTCAGGGCTGGAAGGATTGAGGGCGTCTCGTAGGGGGAAGCTCCGGGTTCAGGGTTTGAGCTTAAGGGCCTTTTAAAGCCTTGTATAAGTGTTGGGGGGGGGTGGGGGGTGGGGGGGATGTCTGTTATGGAGCAAGCCGGATTTTGCGTGTGGAAGAGACGGGATACACCACGGCAGGCATTTCTCGCCACCAGACCTTCAGCAGGCGCAGATGCGACGCAACAGAGCAGGGCCCTTGAAATCCTTTTGTCTGTGTAGTACAAGGCTGGTGCTGCTTGAGAAGGTCAGGCATAACAGCTGTTGTGTCTCGTGTTCTGATAGTTTAAAATTTCTTTGCTGCAAAAGCATGTTGCCTGCGAACTCCAAGCTTCGAATGGACAATTTGCTCTGGCAGACATTGGGTGCAGCTACTTGGATCCCAAACCACGCTTAAAACTTGAACCCTGAACACGAAAGCCTTACACCTTAAACCCTACACTACACCCTTAAATCCCAAACCCTGAACCCGCCTGAACCCTAAACCCCAAACCCTGAACCGTAAACCCTGCAAGTGGGGCCTTAACCAAGCAAAGCAATGCCAGGCCGAGTCCTACCAGGGCACGATGTGATAGTATGGGCTATGAGTAATACTATCGTCTTATTGTTATTGTTATTGTAGACATTTCTGGAGGTGTCTTGCACTTAGGTTTGGTTTCAAGTGAGGTGTAAGTGCCTAAAAATTAAGCACCCCGAATCCTAAATCCGCATCGCGTTGAGGCCTTTCTCCTCTGTACGCACTTCCGTTCGTCCCGCGGCCTCAGCAAAACGCGGCGCTGCGATTTATCTTCGAGGCCGATTTCTCGTTTTTGGCTTGTTTGAGGTTCAGGTTTTGGGCATAGGATAGCCCAAAGCAGAAACCCTAAACCCAAAGCCCCTAAGCTATACATGAACCCCCTGTAAGGCGCACAGTTTCCGTATCCCAGAGCAGAATGGCCCTTGCCCACAAAAGCCGCACTTCTGGGCGGGAACGCCGTTAGTTCCGAACGCGTCACTTGGGGTGTTCGAGGGCATTCTAGGGCTTCAGGGACTTCAGAGCTTAGCCACTATTATTATTATTGTTATTATTAACATTATTATTATTATGATTATTATTATTATGATTAATATTATTATTAATAATTATTAATTATTATTATCATTATTATGATTTATTATTATTATTATTATTGTGATGATAGCTGCTGCTGTTGTTCTTGTTGTTGTTGTTGTTGTTGCTGTTACTATTTATTTTTAGTGTGAGTTTTTCGTTTTTATCACCTGGATTATCCTGATGACCATTAACATTGCTATTACTCTTATTCGCATTTATGTATATCGTTAATAACATTCTCATCATGGGTATACCAACACAACTTATATTTGCTTTTACCATGTTATTTTATAGTGTACTCTAGTACAGTATAGACAGGTATAGTATAGTATCGTATGATATAGTACAGTATAGTATAGGGTGGGATAGTTCAGTGTAGTACTAGTACTAGTACTAGTACTTACTCCTACTACTACTACTACTACTACTACTACGACTACTGCTACTGCTACTGCTACTGCTACTGCTACTGCTACTGCTACTACTACTACCAGTAGCCCTGCCTTTGGAGCTTGCAGGTGTATTTGTTTGTTGTGTTGTTTTGTTCTTAAGGGGGGTGAGGTTCGAGGAACAGTGTTTTTCTTTGTTTGTTGTTTCGATTCCACGGCAAGGCAGGTTTTCGTGTCTTGGTAAGGTCTAGACTACCTCATGTTTTTAATTAGGCGCAAGTGTCCCTCTGTCGAAGGAGCCATGGTCGCAAAAACTGCGAACAGACCTCCAGGCTGAGATGGGGGGTGGGCTTGATGCGAGTGGTTGACTCACGAAGCAGACGAACTCGTGGAAACCACGCTTGCAAGACACCTACACGGAGACTTTACGTGTTTCCACAACCTGTACCTTTGTTTACTTTCATGCAGATGGAGAGCGATGTAGGGCCAGGAAGTGCTTGGTGCCGTTCCAAAGGTTGCAAAGGCCCGTGGTAGGTTGTGTTGCCCCAAACGTCGAACCCCAAACCCGACGTCCACGGAGTCGTGCCTAGGCCTTTTTAGTGGCGCATGCCAGCACGCGGCATGCGCCTTTCTTGAGACACTTGGTGCTGTGCTCAGTTCGGCTGCTCCGAATCAGGCTTCCATGCGTGTTGCTGTTGGGGACTCGGAAATTTGCTGTTACAGTAGAGCCAAACGTTGTACTATGCTCATTGTGATGTCGTCCCGATCGAGTGCGGCTTGGGTTTAGCTCCCTTTCAGATCGGTAGAGCCTCTCCAGGCTGGTGCGCTCATCACGACATCGTGTCCAGCCGCGTCGCCGCCACATGCCAGTTGGCCAGTGCCTGAAGTGGGCCAAAATCGTAGAATTTTCGAAGTTTCGGTGCACTTGCCAGTAGCACACACGCCCCGAACCCTTAGCTGTAGACCGTGGGCCCTACCTCGAAGCTCCACGCCCGTCACGTCCTGGACCCGAAGGCCCAAGAAGCCAAAATTCCGAAGCGCTTGAGATGAGGCACGAGATGCTCAGAATCGCAGACATGGGCTTGACAGCTGCCAGCCAAGCCATGGCACGGAATCAGATGCCGCGATGGGCATGGTTTGAGCTTTTTGTGTGGCTGGGTTTGAAAGGGTCTACTTGGAGGTTCATGGGTAGTTATAAGTGGGGTTATAAGTAGGGTAACTACACTTATAACCCATATTAGGGGACTTATAACTTCACTTATAACTACCCATGAACCTCCAAGTAGTTGAAGGAGCCTGCTGGTTCCAGTACTGCAGCGGCTGCTTCTCCATCGACCGAGTCATGGGCCGTTGTGTGGGTCGGGGCCTGGGCTTTCCGGTCAGGTTTAGGGTTTAGGGTTTAGGGCTCTAGGCTTTTAGGGTGTAGGGCTCTAGGCTTTAGGGTTTAGGGCTCTAGGCTTTTAGAGTTCTAGGCTTTTAGGGTTCCAGGCTTTTAGGGCTTAGGGTTTCGGGCTTAAGCTTTTTCAGCTTTAGGGATGTTGCGCCGCCACACCCTTCGCAACCTGCGACAAAGCCCTGAGGATGATCCTCCACTCACCAAAACTCCGCATGCACTCCTCCTCAGTTATCATCTTCACTTGGAGGTTCATGGGTGGTTATAAGTGGATATAAGTCCTTATAACCCCACTTATAACTACCCATGAACCTCCAAGCATCCTTTACTTCTTCCTCTTCTTCATCACCACCATCATCACCTTCATTCTTTCGGCACTATCGCCGCCGTCATGAAATTAGCAGCAGCAGAAATACCAACGGCGATGGTCGTGCCTTATCTAACCTTTCTTGGCACGATTTTCGCAAACGTCGGGGGGCTCCTTGTTATAACTATAGTATAGTGTACCCCAAACCCTCTTCTAATTATCAAGGCCCCTTTTCCAGGCCAAAGAGCGCCGGGGTTGACGAAGGCCGGCGCATGGACGCCGCAGTGCCTGGGTGGGGCCCTGGCCAGAGGTAGGAGTTTCCGAATACAAGGGGTACCTTATTTTTGGGGTCCTTATAATAAGGATCCTATTGTTTAGGGCACTATATTAGGGTCCCGGATTTTCGGAAACCCCCAGGTAGGTTTCAAAGTTTCTGGGATTCAAGGTAACGCATGTGGGTAGTTCTCTAAATTAGGGTCCCTTTTAGGGCTCCATTAATAGGATCGATAAGGGTTCCTAGAGGGTTGCTACAAGGGTACGAGGGTAGTTCTCAAAATCAGGGTCCCTCTTTAGGTCCCCAAATTAGTATGGCCCCCTGATAAAATGCATCTTAAAAGGGACTCTAATTTAGAGAACTACCCATGTATGTATCTTAGGTAGGTCGGTCGGTGGCTGGCTGTGGGGAGGACGGGCGGGTGGGTGGGCGGGTAGGCAGGTAGGTCGGTAGTGAGGCAAGTACATGTGTGTAAACATGTTGGACAGGCACGCATTACTATGTACGTATGCAGACATGCGTGCATGTCTTCCTCTATCTCTACTTGCACGCTCTTGCGCACCCATGTGCTTTGATTGCAAAGCAACCTTGCAGCACTAGACTGTGGAGATAGGTGGAGATGCTTTGCCTTGCCAGAGAATGGTTTACGGTTTAGTGTCGGGGATTCACTCCTATTGTAGAATTTTAGAGCCTGCAGACCCTATGGAAGCGACGAGGGTCGAGAAGTCTTCATGCCGGCTCCAAACCGATAGAACACATCGGAACATCGGCCACCCTGAAAAAACCAAGCTGTCAGAGGCCGGACCTCTAGGTGTAGGCTGCAGGATTTGGAATGGGAGTTGCAGAAGTTGGGGGACCCTGATTGTAGTGGACCCAAAATTAAGGATCATTGTTCTTGGTTTAAAAGCACCCTCAAAACGGGTCCTGGATTTTAAGTTTTGAGCAATCCCGCCAGTATAGGGGCCTTAATAATTAGAATAGGGTTTTGGGGTATGTTATACTAGCATGATAATAATGAACCCCCAAAAAATAGTATTGGTAATTATTGAAGCCCCTATATTACCCTTGTAGTGTTTTGTTTAGCAGCGCGCCTGGAGCCTGAGCCCAAGTCGATCGCATGGTTGGCCGCTTGCTCCGAAAAGACGTCGACGTGGCCGCCAAACCAGAAGGCGTCCCTGCAGATTTAGGGTTTAGGGATTAGTCGCTTGAAGTAGACCCTAAACCCTAAACCCTAAACCCTAAACCCTAAACCCTAAACCCTAAACCCTAAACCGTTGTAGTTTTAGAGCTTCTGTGCGGGTTCACAAGGAGCCGTCAAACTTCGGATTCTGGGCCTGGGCCCTAAACCCTAAACCCCATCTTTCGTAGATTTCGTTGTTTCGGTATATTCCAAAGACGTACAAGCACGTTCAGGACTGGGAGTCTGGATTGCGAAACCCTGAAACCCACAGCCTCAAAACCTGCTGTAGGGGCCTTAATGAATAGAAGAGGGTTTGGGGGTAGTTATTGTTTTTACAAGGAACCCCCCAAGATAGTTTAGGAAATTATCAGGGCCCCTAGATTAAAGCCCTCAACCCCTGAAGCCGAAATCCCGAAACCCCAAACACACACGCACTCTCTGCGGATTGCAGGTTGATTGTTGGGTTTCGAGGTTTAACGGCTTATAAGGGTTTAGGGTTGCGGAGTTTAGCGGTTTAAGGGTTGACCATGCTGATTCTAGTGTAAAGTCGAACCTGTTAACGTCTTTCCAGTGTTTCTAAATGAAAAGAAATCCGGTACTCGTCTGCCCTTAAATCCCCGAAAGCGTGAACCTACAGACCAGCAAGCCGAACCGGAATCTCGAATAGCCCCTGAGACGTTCGTAATTCGCGCCGTATGGGTTTAGGGTTTAGGGTTTAACCCTTTACACTCAACTCACTAAACCCGAACCCGCCGCGTAAATCGCTGGGCTACCTCGGCCCGGAGGAGCATCTGCATCTCTCAGCGCAGGCACCGCCCGGCTTCCGACATGAGCCATTCCAGGGCTAAAGGCTTCTAACAGGGCTTAGGGTGTAGGAGTGTTGAAAGTATACTCCCCTAAACCCTAAACCCTAAACCCAAAACGTTACACAAAAACTTCCACAGGCAAAAGTAGCTTCTTGCTCTCTCTACCTCCCAAGCACAGCCAACCCCAGACTCCAGAGCCCCTAAACGCATAGAACCCCTAAACTTTAAACCAGAGCCCCCCAAAACCCTTATAGCAACTCTTATACTTATAGAACCCTTAAAGAACCCTGAAACCCTAAACCCTAAACCGTAACAACCCCTGTCTAGCGAACCTTAAAGGATGACGTCAGGATCGGCCCGGCTCTTCTTGAGCCAGAGGCAGCGAAGACGGCGAGATCGGCGTCCGACTAACGTCTGGGCCCGAATGATTAGATAAGGGTTTTGGGGCCCATTATACCATCATTATATAGGTTCCTTATCATATATAATCAGGAACCCACCAAAATAGTACTGGTAATTCTTTAGGCCCCTATATTCGGTCCTAAGCCCTAAACCCTAAACTCTAAACCCTAAAAGCCTAAAACCCTAAACCCGTAATTATCAAGGCCCTTACATTAGCGCCTTTTAGCCTTGTAGAAGTTTAGCGCTTGTAGGGCTTGTAGGGGTTTAGGGTTTTAGGATGTCTCCGGGCTTGAAGGGGCTTATGTTTAGGTTTTAGGGGTTTAGGGGGTTTGGGGTTTGAGGTTTAGGATTTGGGGTTTGGGATTTAGGGTTTAGGGTATTAATATTCAGAGTAGATGCCCACGACCTGGTTCGGAGCATAATGTGCGGAACAAAGCCCACCAAAGCCTGTAAAAGAGTAATTCATAACCGATTACCACAGGGCATAATATAGGGGCCTTAATATTTAAAATACGGTTTGGGGTATATATTATACTATAATCACAATTAGGAACCCCTAAAACCCTATTCTAAT